CACGTGGTATCCGCCGCAAGCATGCGAGCTTCCATCATCAGAGACGACATCGAGGAGATGGGGGTGTGTTTTCTCCACGCCCTCCCGCCCCATGACGCTTCATCGACGGACTCACCTTCGGATCCACGCATCACCGAGCTTCTCGACGCCTATAGCGACGTGTTCGAAGGCCCGCACGGAGTAGTACCGGATCGACCCATCCGCCACGAGATCGTCCTCGAGGACGGGGCCGTACCTCCGCGCGATTGCATCTACTGAATGAGCGAGGAAGAGTTAAGTGTGCTTCGGGCACAACTCGACGACCTTCTGGAGAAAGGTTGGATTCGGCCTAGCTCATCCCCATACGATGCTCCTGTTCTCTTTGTCCGGAAGAAGAACAAGGACCTGCGGTTGTGCATCGATTATCGCAAGCTGAACGCGCAGACGATCAGGAACGCCGACCCTCTCCCACGCATCGATGATCTTCTCGAGCGATTGGGCGGCGCCTAGTTTTTTTCTAAGCTGGATCTCAAGTCAGGGTACCACCAACTCGAGATTCGCATGAAGGATCGCTACAAGACCGTGTTCAGTCGCCATAAGTGCCATTCGTATTCGATGATGACGCACGCCGGTCAATCCAAGCACTTAAGACGGCCATGCTCATGGCACACGTCCTCAACATCTATGACCCCACCTTGCCGACGAGAGTGACTACGGACGCTTCCGGCTATGGCATTGGGGCAGTCTTGGAACAACACGACGGCGACGACTGGCACCCTGTGGAGTATTTCAGCCACAAAGTGCCTCCCATCAACTCGCTTGATGATGCAAGGAAGAAGGAGCTACTCGCATTCGTCACATAGGTTCACATGGGTCACGGTGAGCAGCACAATCGGACGAAGGATGTATTTCATCGACCAGTTTGACTTCACACCGAAACATCTTTCCGGCCTCTCCAATCGCGCAGCAGATGCACTCTCGTGAAGACCTGATCTTTGCGCTATGACCAATCATGCCTTCGCATTCGACGAGGAGCTTCAGCGACACTTCATCCGGGCATACGAGTCTGATCCGGACTTCGCCACTCTGTATGCACAGCTATCTTCGGATCACCCGCCAGCCAACCACTATCGCATTGCCGACGGGTACTTGCTCCTCCACTCGAGAGGCAAGGACTTACTATGTGTCCCACGCGACCGCCGTCTTCGGACTCGCCTCCTCGACGAGTATCATGATTCACGACTCGCCGGCCATTTCGGAGTCAACCGCACTATTGCACGGCTTCGACAGCGATTCCGATGGCCCGATCTCATTACCGACGTCACTCGGTATTGCGACTCTTGCGAAGTTTGCCGACGCAGCAAACCCCACAACCGCAATCCCTACGGCGAGTTACGCCCGATGCCTATCCCACGAGAAGCTGGTCTCTCCATTGCCATGGACGTCACCAGTCCGTTTCCTCGCGACCGGCTCAAGAACGACGACATCCTCACGGTTGTGGACCGATTGAGTAAGTACGTGCGTTTTCTCCCTTGCAAGTACTACTCCACGGCTCCCGAGCTGGCACACCTCCTGCACACTAGTTGGATTTGTGGCCACGGTGTACCAGAAGATATTGTCAGCGACTGCGACACTCGTTTTATGTCGGTGTTTTGGATTGCTCTCATGCAGGAGTCCGGCACAACAATGAAACCAAGTTTGGCTCGGCATCCTCAGACAGACGGGCAGACGGAGTGGGCAAATCAAACCGCTCAAATGATGCTTCGTATGCTCATCCGTCCGGACCAGAAAGATTGGGTTGACCGCCTCCCCGACATCGAGTTCGCCTACAACACTTCGGTGCATCTGGCGATCGGCGTGACTCCATTCGAGTTGCACCACGGTGGACAGAAAGACCGTATCTTCGCCGACCTTCTCCTCCCTCGACCAGCCGACATTGATGCTGCCTGCTCTCCCGATTCCGTCCGGAAGTACAGGGAATTGCTGACTCAAGCCCGTGCAAATATGCAAAAGGCTCAAGTCCGCATGCAGCTGCAAGCGAACAAGCGTCGCGTACCATGTCCCATCCGCGCCGGTGATCTGGTTTGGGTCTCCGCGGAAGAGTTTGCACTGGAACAAGATGTTTCACGCAAACTGCTTCCCAAGTGGTTTGGACCTTGGTCTATGACAACAGCCGGGGGCGATGAGCCCGATGACCCTTCATTTGTGATCAACATTCCAGAGCATCTGACGGTCCATCCGGTCTTCCACGCCTCGAAGCTGGCAACATACACGCCAGCCAAGAGCGACGACTTTCCGGGCCAACGATCGCAGGACCCTCCTTCTATGGATGGGCATCAGAAAGTTGACCGCGTCATCTCCGATCGCAAGTACGGCAGCAAGCCGTGGCAAAACAAAGTCACATTCAATGCATGCGATCGCGACGACACTCGGTGGATTTCAGGCGCAGATTTGAAAGCATCCGCACCGCTGATCTACGCGCATTATGAAAAGCGGAGGTTAGCTCAGGAAGCTTCACGACCAG